TCAAAGCCACACCCAAAAAAAACACGCCTGAATTCTCGTGCAAGCAACACCATGTAAATCACGTTGACTGTCCTGACTAGCTGGAGGTTGGTAATCCACAGGATTTGTTCTGTCTGCCATTTAGGGAGCTATTTTTAAGCCGTTATTTTAGTGACATCTGCTGGAATGTGGGGAGACCTTAGAATAACTAAATAATTTTAAAAAATACCAAATGTGATTTGACTCACAACGCATCGATCCCCCCTTTAAGCTAAACATTTCATACTCTCATTGGTTAGACTTACATACCAAATCAGTCACTGGTATGTAATTTACATATGGTCTACTGAAGCCCAGTGATTGCTCTACAGTCATATCAGATTTTGCCTTGATATTTTCTTCCTGAGTTTGAGCAATAATCAGGTGAACATTGGTTGCCCTGTTGTGATTTTTGAGAGAATGTAGCAGTTCAGGGAACAAATGACATTACCAAGCTAGCTCAATAGGTTTTCTTGCAGTTGTAAGCAAAAACTTCACCAAGAAACATGCAAGTCCAGTGTATTGAAATTGCTACATAATAATGAATAGTTGCTCTATTTTTCAGGACCACAGTCTGGTCAACCCTTGTTTCCTATTCACACTTTCTATGTTGGTGAATTCACAGGGTTAAAGTTCACATAGATTATTCCTTTTTTGAATTCCTGCTTCTGTTCCCTTTTAAGTAAGTGGCTTTTTCGCCAGAAGATTTTCTTTACATTCAGTCTAAGGCCTTCTTAATGCTGTGCGGTGCCTCCAAAAATCTGACTTGCCGGGGTTAACACATGGCTAGACAACAGGACATCTGTGACTGTTCAACTACACCACTATGCCTTTATGTTAAAGAAAAACCACCTTTGATCACAGCCACTGTGAACACACCAAGTGACCGCTGTGCAGACGCACACACACCACATCTTGACAATGCTGGTATCGCAAGGCTGCACCCACAGCAGACTGAAACAAGCCAGTGCACCTGACCACAATCCAATCAATTACATCACCACAAGTCAAAGAGCCAGAGTGAGGAGGGCGGAACATGGAAGTGTTTGTGACTCACCAAGGACAAGGCCATCACGTGGGAACTCCCAGCGTGTGTCGTAGGGCAGCTGCATGGGATCCACGTAGATGTACTCATGCCCATCTGGACTGACTGACTCAATGACCCTCCACCTGATCTCATAACGTGGCTTCTGAAATGCATATAGATGAGATAGGTTTTTAGATTGATAAGAGCTATGTTGTTGATCTTAGAACAGCATTTAATACCACACAATATAAGATAAACAGAAATTTGATCATTGGTTAACTTATCAGTTTACAAAATCTAAAGTCAAATGTATTCTGGAGCAGCAGGGAGAAGATTATAGTCACATAAAATGAACAAGTCTTGGAAATCAGACTGAGTGAAAAAGGTGATTCAATGAACGAATTAAAAAAATGCTAATTATAAATTGAGTGAGTGAATTAAAGTGAAGTAAATTACAGTGTAAACAAGCACTAGGATGAATGGGTGAATACAGTGAATCTGTTGGTGATGGTATGAGTGAGTAAGTGAGTGAGTGATTGAATGTTGATTGACTGAAAAAAATGACTGTGGAAGTGTGTACCTGTTTCCAGATAATGACCAGCACAATGAGTGAGATGATGACAATGACCAACAGCACCAGAACAGCAGCCGCCACAGTGAGCTCTGAGTGCGGACCTGAACACATCATCACCATTGGCATAAGAGCAAATTCTAATTTGATAGTTTAGTCATTTTGAGAATTTGCAAACCTATGAATAATCAATTATTTTGCTAATTTAATAATGTCTTTAGATATTGACCATGATTGAATACAAGTCTGTACAAATTAAGTCTTAATTTCTTCTTTAAATTGCTTAATCCAATGTACCATCATGAAGTGCATACTGAATTTGGTTAAACGATTTACAATGTAACTCAGCTATTTTGGAAAAAAAAAAGGCCCACAGACACTGAATGGATAAACCAAAAGGGCATATGGCATATGAATTTCCCTTTCACAAGTGCCACATGGGGAACCCATCAGGAGTTCACTACATGGGGAGCCTGAAAGAATGATGCTAACAGATGTAAGGGTTATCAGCAAAGAGTAACTTTTGGTAGAGTTTCCCTTCATGAAACACACACACACACACACAATACCAGGACCAAATGGTATATAGAAGTAGCTTGGTGAAGATATGACAAGGACAATGGGACGGATGTGAATAGATGATTAATGAACATTGAGGAAAGTGTTGATTGCTTGTGCTTTTGACTGACAAAGTGACATTTGACAAGTAACAGATGTACAACAAGAGAGACAACAAGCTTAGAAGTCTACGCCAGTGGTTCTCAAGCTTTTTGTAGCCAGGGACTGCTTTAACTGTAAAATAAATTCCATGGACCCCTTAGTTTGGATTTATTCATGCACAGTTTTGAAATTTGCCAAATAATAGTTTATGGAGCCATAGAACTTTCTATTCCTGAATTTTCCACCGAGAGAAGACATTCCGTCTGAGTTGACTTTGGTGCTTGGACCCCTAAATATGATAACTTTGACAATGTGGGTTGGGATTTTCATCACCGTAACAAGATAATAAAAAACACGGACCCCATGGCTATGCTTCAGAGACCCCTGGAGGTCCTGAGACCCCACTTTGAGAACCACTGGTCTAGGCTGGTCAATGTCTTTAACATGGTTATTTGTGATATCTGGAACTGTTTGAAGGAGTTAAAAATGATTGTCATTAACCCTACATTAGACAGTATTGTGCAAAATCTCTTGCCAAATCAATTCAATTTCATAATTTTCCTGAAGAGAAATGTAGTCAGCCTATGAGAGCCACAGGATGATGGATATTCTCACCATTGGCCACCAGTTTGATCTCACGGGACACAGCGACCATCTCGTTCCGTGCCAGACAACGCACGGCCAGCGTGTTCTCCAGATGTCCAAAGATCACCTGACTCTCCAACTGGTTGTCCTGGTCTATGTGTGTATCAATGGTGATGCCAGTGGTGTTGGTCTGAATAGGTGACCACTCGTTTGAGTCATTGGAACACCTAGGCAATAAGAAAAAGGGGTGAATGTGATGATGTCAGGATGCTTTTGTCACACTGTCATTGACAATGACTGTGAATGTGACGATTTATAGTTAAGAATGAGGAACAGAACAGTTGAAACTGTACATGTGAACTAAAAAAAAAAATACGTGAAAAAAGAAAATGAAAAAAGAAAAGGAAAGGAACTTGTGGTGCAAAAAAAAAGCAAAATATGAAATAAAATAGAAAAAAAGAGAACTGTTGCAGTTATAGTGAGAGGAACATGTCTCGGTCATACTTACTGTTTAATGTTTTTACAGATGTACCACTCCACCTCAGGGACGGGAGATCCTCCGGCAATACACACCACAGCCTGGCCTGTTTCTGATCCATGGTGCAGGTCCATCAGGTCCACAATTACAGCAGGAACTACAGTACACATACGGGAAAGCTTTACTATTAGCAGAGGTATACACAGCTACATCGGTTAGTACATATACTCCAAGAATCCATATAAGACAATGACATTCAGAACAACTAAAAGAAAAAAACAGCTTAAGAGAAAGTTCATGTAAAATTCTAACATAGATGAAAATGCAGGCAAAACAGAAACAGATTGGACAAAGAAAGAATGCATGGACAGTCAAAAGAAAAAACACATGCAAATGCATGAAAATGAAGTTGTGACCGAAACCCCTGCAAATTCAGAACAAAGTGAAGACAGAGACACAGGAGAAATGACAAGGCTTCAAACATTTCTAGATTTTACCTTTGACCTGAAGGTTGAACGAGTGGCTGGCGCTCTGGTTGCCTATCTCAGCTCGCACCGTGTAGTTGCCACTGTCCTCAGCCTTAGCTCTAATCAGAGCGAGAGTGCTCTGGTACCTACACACACATACACACACACACACACACACGTTATGTGCATGCTGGCATAATGGAATTATTAGAAAATTATCACACTCTATACAAAAACACCTCCAAGTATGTTGAAAATGAATGTGAATGTGAGTACATGAACTGGATGTCCCTCAACTAGGTCACATTTAGAGTTAAATCTTTTTGCAAATGAGTTATCTGAGCCTCACTCCAAAAGTGCATGTGTTACGTCAAATCGCGCGTGTACCAGGCTTCTAACCTCGTCTCACTGATCGTCCGAAGGGAGGTAGTAAACTCTGCAGCAGTATCACCCAGTACAATGCCATCCTTCAGCCATGTGACCTTGGGTGCAGGAAGAGCCTCAATGTCCACTTGGAACTCGCGAACATCATTCAGTTTGGCTGTCTCCACAGGGGCAAACATTGGAGCTAGAGACACAAACTCCATCTCTGGAGAGTTTGGGAAAGAAGAGTAAAGTATACATCACCAAACAGGAATAGCATGTTCAGTTCAGAACACCAAAATGCAAAGTAAAACACTGCTTTCTAGTCACCCAAACCCAAACCCTCAACAGAAATCAGTTCACTGTAAAGACAAAGAGACAGCTGAATTGTGTTTCACACCACACATTTCTCAGTTCACATATATCAATTACTTAGATTTTTAAATTCTAGTGTATTTAACTTGAACTAACAGACAGGTGACAAATTAAAGGAAATACTGATGTAAAGTGTCTAAATAAGATGTTGTGCTATCACAAATATTCTTCCAGTCATGACTTTGGACCTGTGCTGGAACAATGAACACTGCTCTTCTAAAACATATTCCCTGAACTACTGTTTTTGATGATGGTGGTCCAACACACTGGCTCAATTTCTCCCATAAGTGCTCAACTGGGTTCAGAGCTAGTGACTGTGATGGCCATAGAGTATGATACGCATCATTTTCATACTCATCAAAACATTCAATGAGATCTCGTGCCCTATGAATGGGGGCATTGTCATCCTAAAAGAGATAGACAGATTTGCAGATGAAGGTGACCTTGTATTAAGCGTCCCTGGAGGACTAGTGGTTAGGCTTTGGCGCTCTCACTGCCGTGGCCAGGGGTTCGATTCCTGGCCAGGGAACCAACCCCAACACCAGCCACTGGGGTTGCACACGACAGTGCACTCCCAATGCTGGTCCTAAGCCCAGATAAAATTTGGGAGAGATGCATCAGGAAGGGCATCAGGCGTAAAAACTGTGCAAAATCAAATATGCAGACCAGTGATCTGCTGTGGCAATCCCTAATGGGAGCGGCTGACAGAAGAAGAAGAAGAACAACAACAAGGTGACTTTGTATGCAGTGATGCTTCTCTCTAATAAGACAAATGGGGGAAACAATGCCAACAAAATCCCCATTTATCACCAGTCTGTATAAGGTATATGCTGTATGTACCATGCATAAAACTGTGTATTAGACTTTGTAATCTGTACCATAGACAGTAATGGTGAGCTCTTTGGTTTGGCTCTCATTGCTCATAATGTCAGTGATGGAACAGGCATAATTTCCACTGTCTTTAGTTCTGGCATCAGACACAGTCAGGGTGTAATAGATCTCCTGATCTTTCTTGTTCTCCTTTAGTGTCATCTTAGCACGATCCACCTGACAGAGACAGACAGAAAGAGAGAACCATTATTAATTAATCGAAGAAAATGTGACTATCATGCATCTATGCCTGCAACCTAGTTGCAATGTTAAAATGGCAATATCTGAGACACACAGATTGCACAGATATTGCCCAAATAAAGACAGACTATGTTAAAATATTTGTGGAATATTTGCCTCTCACCATTTTTCCAGGATATTTCCATTGTTGATCCAGCAAGTCACTGCCTTTGGCTACACAGTTTACTATGAGGGTTTCCCCAACCAGCAGAGCTTTCTTCTCCGCCTTCATCTCTACATGCATCCCTGAGCCCCCTGAACAAAAAAGAGGTATACTAACATAAATTTGATATTTGAACTCCTGTCAAGGTGATGCATCTTACCATGTTAATATACCTTTTTTTGAAGTTGTATAAAAAATATTATGAACACACGCACACATATATCCTTACCTATCCAGCCATGGACAATGTACTCCTCGCTCTCATGCTCTTCTCCATTCACAAGAGCCTGACACACATATGTCCCAGGTGTGAAGTTGCCTAGAAAACCTTTCTTGCTGTCATACGTGGCGGGCACGGCCTGCTGAGTCTCCACATGGAACAGCGTCACTTGAGCACTCGGATCAGACACGCGGCAAGGAACCTCCATCTCCTCTGGGCTCTTCAGGACATGGTGCCCAAAGGGCAGTGGGGGGGGCACGAATGGCATGTTCGGATCTGGGGGTAGCAGGATTAGAGCGAGAGAGAGAGAGGGAGAGAGAGAGAGAGAGAGAAAGTAGGAGCAAGAAATAAATTTTGGCTCAAAAAATTTTGCAGAACAGGATGTGCAGACAAATGCCATCAGTTTCTAAAGAAGCAAAACAAAATTCAGTCAAATATGTAGCAAGAAAATACAAATGTAGTCAAATACAAGTTTACATAACACCACCAATGCAAGTTTACATAATCACAGTGTCTTGTGTCCTGTCTTCTATTTTTCTCTATCTCTTTCTCTCTGTCTCTCCATACCTGGCACAAAGATGTAGATGCTGCTCTCCTCTGTCTGATTCTCATTCTTGTAGAAACAGGTGTATTCTCCTGTGTGTGTGGCTACAGCATTGTCCACAGTCACTGTGGAGACGAACAGGCCTCTCTTGTCATCTAATTTCTGCTTGTCAAGGGGGATCGGACCTTCCCACACCACCTCTGCTTGGCCCCGACACGTCAGTCTAAACATGGAGTGAAGGAACACCACCATAGTCTCTTCCCTGGGCCAGATTACCGGAGCCAGCATGGACTGTATTATCTGGGGCTCACCAGCTGGAGTGGACACACACACACAATTACTACATAAGCCTGATTTCTAGAAAACTAGGACAGACATAAGTACCATGGCAGGATTGCTCCACTAAAGTGAAAATGCCATATCAAAATAAACTACATAGTGTGAGGCATCTCAGCCAGTCTGTGCATAAATAAAGTACCTAAAGCATATAGCACAAGGAATGGATAGGATGTTACCTTTAACATAGAGTTTGAAGGAGAACTCTTTACTCTTTGAACCAGCTGATGCTAAAATCTTATATGTTCCACTGTCCTCTTCTACAGGGTGTCGCAGAACCAAAACACTCTCGTACCTTGATGGAACAGATATGAACTTTAAACAATTCATATTTACATACTTTGAACAGTGCAATTCACCCAGGCTTTCTGATCTGGACATACAGAATATTGTCTCACACACACTGTCAAATTTCATTAAAACAGATTTCACATAGAGATCTTAACACTCTAAGTTCTCAACCAGCAGAAATTATCCTGAGAAAATATGAGCACTGCTAAAGAAATGGTGATAAGCGTGATGTTCTGCAGTATCATGTCTAACTTTACCTTTTGTCTGCTAGAAGAGTGGTCTTGGCAGTTATATAATTGGTATTCAATACATTGTCATCTTTGAACCACGTGACCTTGGGAACAGCATCAGAATTGATGTAAATGGTGAATTCAGCTTCCTCCAGGAGAGAGATGGTTTCTACTGCTCCAATCCCACTGTGATCCAAAGTAACAAAAGAACCCTCTGTAACCCAGAGAGAAGAAGAGTGAGTGAAAAAGAGAATCTGAACAGAATATCTAGGGGCACTGACACACCAAGCCAACTATTATCTGTTGGATATCATCAAGCCTTGGTCAGCAGCCACCGCCTGACGTTTTTCAGGTGTGTCCTGCCCATTGGCACTAGTCGACCCTCTTTAGCACTCATCAGCAACTGAGCAGGCTGAATTGGTGTCAAAGTCTGGCAGAAGAAATAGTTCTCTGATTGGCTTCGGCAGAGTGCACACATACAATATTTATCAACTGCTCATCTGTTGTAGCTAGCTATATGTTTGCAGCAAGAGTGTGCAAAATGTTTAAAATATTTGCTCACAGTGGCATAAAAGTGATAGATAGGCTACTCTGTTTGTCCAAAACTTCATATTTCAACAGTGTCAAATATTCTATTACAGGTACTGATATTGATAGGTGGTGTACAATTTGGACGTACTATGATGTATACTGGTTGGAGATTTTAGACAAATGTTTTTGACATTGGATCTTTATGCTTTGGACAAATTACATGATTTGTGCCTTGGATTATGAATACATAATCTGCTACTTTCCCCTCTTGGTATGACAAGTTATGTCATACGGGCACTGGCAGTACTTATGTACTTTTTGTGGAGTACTTTGACTGCACCTTTCCAAACCGTGTGAGGAGTAAATGCACGATCAGTGAAACTTGGTTGTTGCTAGTTCGTTGGTGTTGGCTTGGTCTGTCAGGGCCCCAGTATGCATCTGTTTAATTCATTTCCTCCAGTAGCTTTGCATGGAGAATACAGAGTTGCAGGATAATCAAGCAAGAGGCAGATTGTTACCATGGACAGTGATGGTCACTTGGGAGGAGTGGGTCTTGCCGCTGGACTGCTCTGTGACAGAGCATTCGTAGAAGCCAGTGTCATTCGTTGAGGCATGTGGGATACTGAGGATATACAAAACCTTATCAGGGTAGGTCTCCTTCTTCTGAATAGCACCTACAGCCTGGGGTTGGGTCAAAGTGAAACAGAGATACAAACTATTCACTCATATATATATTTTATGGATATTTTGAACAGTCCATACCTAGTTCGCTCACTCTCTGTCATCTACCTTAGTCATGTTAAAAATATCCTGCCTAAAAGATCTGCTTTAGTCTTTCTTTCGATCTGGCTATCTCCACGTCTGGCACTGGCTTCAGCATGTGGGGCTTGGGAGAGCATCCATCTGTCAGCAGAAGTAAATCTGTCCAGGAGACTGAAAAAAGAGTTGCTATCTCAGCTCTGGTGCTTCTAGAGGGAGTTTCTCTAATAAACCATTCTAAACAGCCAATGACCGCAATCCCATACAAAGCACAACTCTTTATGTATATGGCTATCAGAGCACAGGGAAATCACAATTTACCATTTTCTATTCTGATCACAATATATAACGTTTGCTACAATATGCCCGTATGGATGAAAAACATTGAGGCATTGCTGAGAAAGTTGTTGTTTTGGAGACACACCCAACCCCACACACTGACAAACCCCCTCATAAACACTCGAGCAAATGGTCAGCACTAAAAGTCCTCCTTTAATCTTTTACTGACATACAGCCACACACTCATTTTGCCTCACACACACACACACACACACACACATACAAAGCACAAACAAAAAAGCCCACTGCAAAACAGAGATCCCCAGAGAGTAAAGCTTTGCTCTTCAGTGATTTTCTGGCTTACATGCAGTATGTATCTTCTCTTTAGCAGATTAATGAAGAAAGAGCACGGTGTTGTGGGACTGACAAGTCGGACAGTGTATGGGTGGGAAAAGAAAATAAAATTCCCTTACCTCTTTACTGAGATGCAACCATTTTTGGACATAAAGACCACCAGGTGGAACCGTGCAGGTCAGGTTGAAAGCTTCCCCCTCTTTTATCTCCTCTTGACTGGCTGTCAGTTTCACACCGAAATCGTTCTCCAGCACATTAAACATATCTGACCCATCTGAACACAGACACATTCACACACACACACACACACAGAGTTAGCAGCGGTCAAATAAAATCGAAACTCACTCTTGATCCCTAATTCAAATGTGGACTTAGGCTTACTTGGCATGTCTGTCACTGTGTACACCATGCTCCGGACCACCTCACCATTCACAATGGTCTCACACACGTACTGGCCAGGAATAAAGAAGCCCAAAAATCCATACTTCTCTTCATAGTGATATGGGAGCTCATCTCCACTTGGTAGACTCCGTAGAATCACAGTAGATTGCGGATCCGTAATGCGGCAAGGAATGTTATACTGGGAGGCCTCTGTCGGATCGTCAGGAACAAATGGAACTTGAGGGTCTGAAGTAAAACATAGCAGGATGTTAGCATCCAATATTATGTAAGAAAATACAAAAAACAAATAATATTTGTAGAATTGCCACAC